GATAACACTAGAGTTTCATTTGAAGGGACTGTCTACTTTCTTTATCTAGGTCACAACAAAGTACTTTTAAAATATTTATTGAGGACACACCATGTGCCAAGGTCTAAGGGTACCAAAATTAATACATATTTAGTCAATCATGGGGATAGTTGGTCACTTGAAGATTAAGGAACACCCTTAAATACATATAGGCTTAATAAGTGGCTATCTAATGCAGTATGGTTTGAGGGGCCCTGGGAATGGACTGCTGTGACCACTCCCCTCAAATACCCCCATGGTCTGCCATCATAAAAGTCACTTCATTAAAAGAAAAATGTCATCTGAAAGAGTTCATATTACATCAGTAGTTCTTGATATGTACCTTGGCTACATAAGAATCATTTCAGAAGCCTTTTCAAAAGACAAAAACCTGGGTCCCATCCCCAAAGCTTCTAATTCAATTGGTAAGAGCTACAAGCTGAGCATCAATAGTTTTAAGAGCCTCTCAGGTGGTTCTAATGTATAGCCAGGGTCAAGAACCACCCTCATCAGCCAAGGAATGTATAAGTTGGAAGGAGCCTTAGAGGTATAAAGATTCCTGGGCCACATGCTTGACCTACTGGGAAACCGTCTCCTAGAAGTGGGAATCAAGCTTGAACAAGATGAGAGTTTGGTAAGAGGCGGCAGTCTCCATGCAACCATAAGACGTTGAGTACTGTGGACTCAGTACTATGTTCTGTGATGCAGGGCTACCACGCTGAACATATGCTGGGAGTTGTCAATAAACTTTCATTATAACTTGAGAGAAAAGATTCTCTTTCTCAGTCCATTTTTGTGACTCATGGTAGTTACGTTTTATAAACTCACCTCGAACACTGAACTAATGAATACTGAACAGTTGCTCCTTAGGGGAAATATGCATGTGTGTGTGTGTGTGTGTGTGTGTGTGTGTGTGTGTGTGTGTACCTCACATAGATTATGATTTATAATTCTAAAAACAACTCATCCTGGTAGCTTCTATTTTCTTTATTTCACTAGGAGAAAATGAGGTTCTGAAGTGTTAAGTGACTTGCCTGAGGCCGCTCCACTAACAGGTGCCAGAGTTAGGATTCAAATCCCATCCAACTGTTCTACAGACTGAGCTTCTTGCACTACACTGCACTGATCCCTGCCATCTCTATATTCTGGATACCTCTGTGTGACAGCTGAAACAAGATGGCAGTGCGTTGCCTTATTTGACCTCAACTGGAAATGTGTACATTGGGAGACTCAAATGTTTTCATGTTCTTCACACGTCTGCAAATGACCAGGAAAGCACCGTGGGTATTGATTCTAGGGTTACAAATACATTAGAAGGAGTAGGTGAATTTGCAGATACAGAATCTGCAAATAATGAGGGTTGATTGTACACATACGTAAGGCTGACCTTCAGTTGGGATACACTGGTATGGCCATACCTGTTGTAAAATATTCAGGGTTTCTTTCACACTGATTGGTAAGTAGCCACTGCCCTAAGCTTCCTGGGTGCCACCTGACCTCTCCCCTGGGACCTCTTTACAAATGGTCAACTGAACAGTTAATGCCTGGCACAGTAGGAGGTCTCCAAGACTCTGGCTGGCTTACATTCTGATCGAATGGCTCCTACTGTACAGGTTAATTGTTTTGACTATCACCCCTGTGTGTACGTGCTCATGTCTCTGCTCCAAGGGTTTAGAAAGCACGAGGCCAATACTAGAGTGTAAGCTCTATGAGGGTAGGAACCACGTTTCTCCCATGTACTGCTATGTTCCCAGTTTAGAAGAGCACCTGGAACAGTAGACATTCAATAAATGCTTGCTGAATGGATGAACAAATGAGACTCTTATTGAGGTTAGTAAGGCAAAGGTGTTTGGAAAGGTCTCAAGCCAGGTCTTAAAGGAAACAGACATTTACTAGAAGAGGTGCGGACTAGTACGAGGACAGAAGCCTGCAGGGTAGTAAGAACTAAGATATGTACCAGGAGGAGAAGGAAAGCAGCCTGGTCATAGCAAAGAGGCCATGGGATAGGACAGTGGGGACATGAGATCTAGAGGGCAAAGGGGTGTTAGGAGCACTGGGATGAGAGATGGAACAGAGGTGGAGGGAGTGTTAGGCTCTTCATTTGGCACCAAAGGTTGGACACTTGAGTTTAGTTTAGGCTGCTGTGATGGCTGTAAGCTGGGTTTCCCTTATTCCTTCTTTGGCAGGTTCCGGGTGCTGGGGGATACGGCAGTGAACAAAACACAGTCCCTATCCTTGAGGAGCCGACATTCTAACAAGATATATATCTCATACATATATATACATACATATATATGTATGTATGTATATATATGATATTTAATGGGAATGTAAAATGGTACAGCCACTCCAGAAAATACTTTGGCAGCTTACTAACAAACATACACTTAATGTATCAACCCAGCAGTCACACTTTTGGGCATCTATCCCAGAGAAATAAAAACTTATGCTCACAAAAAAACCTGTACACGGATGTTTATAGCAGCTTTATTAGTATTAGCTGCAAACTGGAAATAGCCCAGATGTCCTTCATTGGATGGAGGACTAAACAATCTGTGGGACATCCACACCATGGACTACTACTCAGCAATAAAAAGGAACACACTACTGACACTGGCAACAATTTGGATGAATCTCAAGGGCATTGTGCTGAGTTAAAAAAGCCAATCCCAATGATTACATACTATATTATCCCACTTATATAATATTTTTAATTTTCATTTTATTTTAGAGAGGAGAGTGTGAGTGGGGGAGAGGGGCAGAGGGGCAGAGAGGCAGAGAGAGAGAGAGAGAGAGAGAGACAGAGACAGAGACAGAGACAGAGAGAGAAAGAGGATCTTAAGCAGGCTCCACACCCAGTGCAGAGCCCAATGCGAGACTTGATCTTATGACTGTGAGATCATGACCTTAGTTGAAATCAAGAGCCAGACGCTAAACCGACTGAGCCACCCAGGCACCCCTATATAGTATTTTTGAAATGATATAATTACAGACATGGAGAACAGATTAGTGGTTGACGGGGATTGGGGTTGGTGGGGGGGGGTGAGTTTGGCTGTAAAAGGGCAATGTGAGGGGTCCTTTTAGTGATAGGAATGTCCAGTATCTTGACTGTGCTGGTGGATACATGAACCAACAGACAGACTGACACTGAACCATACACACACGTTGTATTGGTGTCAATGTCCCGGTTTTGATATGGTACTTTAGTTATGTAAGATGCAACCCTTGGGAGAAATAGGGTCAAAGGTACACAGGGATGTCTGTACTGGCTTCATGACTTCCTGTGAATCTATAATTATTCCCAAATAAAGAGTTAAAAAATATAATATTTTAGTACTGATGAAAAAAATTATGCAGTATCAGCAGATAGTCACAGGTCAATGCTACCTTAAAAAGGGTAGTCAAGGAAGGCTTCTATAAGGAGATGGCATTTGAGGAGATCAGACTAACAAAGTAACCCACAATGAGTCCCTAACCAGAGAGATAAAACACAACAAGCATAGTTTTTGGGGAGAACTGGTAGCCATTTCATGACAGGAGACTGGGGAGTGGGGAATGACTGCCCACTGCCCACTAGGCAATTGTACCTGTGCAGTAAGGTAGGGAGGAAGGGTTCTACCAGTTACATCCACTGAGGGGTGGAACATGTCTGCCCAGAGATACAGGAGAATTGCAATTGAGAAAGGCAATTGAGAAAGGCCTATTTGCCAGGGAGCATATATGGAGCACGGGAGAGAGAAAGAGAATATGAACGTGCATGCATAAATGTGTGTGTGTGAAGTTCACACTGACACAGAAGATGGCTGGGGGCCATGGGGAGAGGCAGTTAGAGCCAGAGCTTGATTTGAACTCTGTCCCCAACACATGAGCCCATGCTCTGCGCCTGCGCACCATCTCTGTCTTTGCACAGAAACGTTGTCTCTGGAAACTCTTTCCCTCTGTCTCTTCCGGGGGAATCCTGCCCCAATCTCTAGAGGTCCATATCAGATGCAGCTTCCTCTGTGAAGGCTCTCCTGATTTCATGCTCCCCACCCCAACAGGTGTGACCTCTCCTGTGGCCATGGGGGTGGGACATCAGTGCTGGAGGGCAGGGGAGTGTTGGGGGACTGAGAAGGGACAACTAGGCCTGGAGGTGGAAGAAAGGTTCTGAGTTTTGCATATAAGAGTTTTACACCCGGGTCTGTGCATTTAAGTTAAGATTACTATAAGAATGTAACCTAGGAATGGACACTGGGCCTTCTACATCCAACTCTTGAGGAGAGGGGCTTGGGATTTTTACTTTTAATAAGCACTCCTGTGACTATTATGATCAGTCGAGTTTGGAAAACACTATTCTAGTCTAAACCCCTCAATCTGTAGATGGGGAAACAGGTTCAGAAAAGGAAACTGACCCACCCAAGGTCACACAGCCAGTTAGTGACTGTGCCAGGACAAAGATGAACCTGTTTGTCCAACTGTACTTTCCCACCAACTTCATATTAAATTCCCCACATTCAGTGCTGAGTCTCATACATTGTAGGCCGTTTAGTAAATACGGGGATGGATGGATGGATGGATGGATGGATGGATGGATGGATGGGTAGGTGGATGGATGAATGGATGAAGCTAGCTAGCTAGCACCCACCATCGGCAAGGACTTCATGGGGGTTGGACACTGGACAGGTAAATTTTGATGGGACACAGCCAAAAAAGAGGGAGAAAATCTGTCTGGGACAGGGGGGCAGTGAGCGGCCTAAGTGAGGTAAAGCACAAGGCACAGGGCAGAACATAGCACTGTGTGACCTTTCAGAATTCAAGCCTTGAATGTGAAAGTAGATAAGATGTTCAGAAGGTATGCTTTCAGGTCACTCCTAAATCTCCGGCTCACAACATGTTGATTCTGGGATGTCCCTCCACCCGCCCTCGCATCACTGTCACTTTCCAATATGGGATTCTCTCATCTTGATCAGGAGGAAAGGCAGATGGCAAAGAGGCTCACTCACCTGATGAGTGTGCAGAACTGTAAGAACGATGAATTCCTTAGCGCTCCTACAGAGAGAAGAAGGAACAGGAGAGCAGTGTATCATGCACCAGGTATTCATCTGGCACAAGAAGCAACACCAGAATTTTCCCCTGGGCTGCATTCAGGGATATGGATTAGGCCAGAGGGCGCTCTGAGTATCTGCCTGGCTGCCTTGCCTCCCATCATTTGTGGTGGCCGATGTAAAGCATCCATATAGGCTCACGCAGGCATCTGTAGATGGTATTACCATTATCTCTGGGGCTTTCATTTTTCAGGCCTTCTTTTTATATTCCTTCTCATATTCTCTCTGTAGAAATCCCCAAACCTTAGGAGCAATTTTAGCTGTAGAAGAGAAAATTCTCAAGGAAAACTAAAGGCCTGAATTATGGCACTCAAAGGGCACAGTCTGAGTCCCGGGAACCATGTACCATGATTATTGGCAATTTGGTATTTAAGCAAGAGGAGAAATTCAAAGGAAAACCCCAAAGGAGGTCATTTGGCTATCATGACTCATACTCAGCAGATTTGTTTTAACTGAAGGACCAAAAACTAAGAGCTAGGGAGCAACAGATGGAACCAAGACTCTCCAGATAGCAAATATTCAAAAGGGTGAAGAATTTGAAACTCTTCCTTATGCCAATGATCAGACAGGCCATGAGGTATGAACATTCTCTCCTGGGAATACATAATCCTTCAAAATAGCTGGAAGAAATGGAAAGAGTTTGCCTTGAAGGAATGTCCCCTCTCCTTGCTGGGCTTTTTCATATGTTTCTGGGGAAAAAAGGTATTCAAGAAGCAGAGTCAAGACCACTTGGTTCTAGGTATTCAAGAAAGGCCAAGCCCCCCTCCCCATGCACGGACTTGGAACTTGGAGAGGCAGATCCAGGGATGAATCAACTCCAGGGTCTGAGGAGCTCCGGGGAGAAGGAAGGAGTTGTGTTCCAGAAAACACCACAGAAAAATTGGTCTCTTGACCAGGGTAGGGCAGAGTGTAAGTTGGATTATGTGATGAGTCTGCCCCAGCCCCTGCCACATTTCCCCATTTCATGGGGGAACAAAGCCAAAGTCTTTACAGTGGCTACAACTCTACCCCTCTTTACCCCACTTCCTATAGTGGCTTCTCCCCTGTCCCCCAAACACGCCAGATACACTCCTGCCTCAGGGCCTTTGCACTGGCTCTTTTCTCTCTGACACCCTCACTCCTTAAAATCTTTCTTCAGTTTTTACCTTCTCACTGGCAAGGCTATTTAATTTTTAATTCTTTTAAATGTTTATTTATTTTTGAGAAAGAGAGAGAGAGAGAGAGAGAGAGAGAGAGAGAGAGACAGAGCGCACGTGGGGGAGGGGTAGAGAGAGAGGGAGACACAGAATCTGAAGCAGGCTCCAGGCTCTGAGCTGACAGCAGACAGCCCGACAGGGTGCTTGAACCCACAAACTGTGAGATCATGACCTGAGTGGAAGTTGGACGCTTAACCGACTGGGCCACCCAGGTGCCCCCGGCCAGGCATCAGCATCCCTGTGCCCAGCACTCCCGGATCCTTTTTGCCCTGATCCACTTTCTACTTTTCAATAACCTTCATCAATTTCCAGCATACTGTACAATTACATATTTATCATGTTTATTGTTAAGGTATATCTCCTTCCACTAGCGTGTAAACTCCAATGGGATTTTTATCTTATTCATTGCTGTGTATTCAGTGCCTGGAACAGTGCCTGGTGCAGAGCAGACACTTGTTAACAAATATTCATTGAAGGAATGAAATAATAAAAATCTGCTAGCCCCCAAGGTCATCAAATAAGTGAGCTCTGTCTTGATCCCAAAGGAGCTCTGGACTCCTTCACAAAATGGGGCTGCGTGTTCTAGGGTGCAAAGATATTCATTGGAAGCAAAGTAAGGACTTCTGGAGGGCCAGGTTGAAAGAACCCCAACATGCCCTCATGGGGTTGAAAGGACTTACCCAATTTTGGTGTGGTGGTGGAGGGTGAAGGGTGGAATGGGGCGGGGGGATGCAATGGACAACTGAACTTGGAGAAGAGACAAACTAAATGTCATTAGAGACCAGATGTATTCCAAGATATGAGCTGGAGGGGAGCCTGTCAAGGAAGGCCTGCTCTGGACTTCAGGAGGGGGTATTCCAAGTGCCTCCAGAGCTTGTGAGAGGGTGCTGTCCCATATACAAGTGCTAGGTCCGCCTTTGAAGGGGAGGGAGGGGCGCTGGTGAACAAGAAAGACGAGTGGGATGAAAAACATTCTAAACCAGGAGGGCTTGAAGGAGATGGAGGCAGACATAGAGTAGACTACACAAGGCACAGAGAGAGGTGGGGGGAGGCACATGGTTCCATTTGGGAGGAGACAGCCAAGGTCACCAAAAATGAAGACAACCCATGCAATTTAGAGCCTTTATCCTTTAAGGTATCCTTTAGAGCACCTCTATCCTTTTATTCCTTATCAATACATCTATGCAAGGGGGCATGTGGGTGGTGTGTATGTGTGCATGTGGTGGGAGTATGAGGTAGGGGAGTGTGTACAGTGTGTGTATGTGTGTGTGTGTTATGTGGTATGCATGGTTTCTGTGTGGGATGTGTGTGTGGTATGTGGTATGCACCGTGTGTGTGTTGTATGTAGTGTGCATGGTTTGTGTGTGTGGTACATGGTGTGCCTGGTGTGCGTGTGTGTGTGTGTGTGTGTGTGTGTGTGTGTGTGTGTGTCATGTGGTAGGCATGGCTTGTGTGTGTGGTATGTGTTATGTATGGTGTGTCTGTGGTATGTGGTATGCACAGCATGTGTGTCGTATGTAGTGTGCATGGTTTGTGTGTGTGGTATGTGGTATATGATGTGCATGGTGTGTGTGTGGTATGTAGAGTCCATGGTTTGTGTAGGGTGTGTGTGTGTGATATGTGGTGTGCATGGTGGTGTAGGGTGTGTGTGTATGGTATGTGTTATGCATGGTGTGTGTGCATGGTATGTGGTGTGCATGGTGTGTGTGGCATGTGGTATGCATGGTTTGTGTAGGGTATGTGTATATGGTATGTAGTGTTCATGGTTTGTGTGTGTGTATGTGTGTGTGTGTGTGTGTGTGCATGTGTGGTGTGGTATGCATGGTATGCATGTATGGTATGTGTAGGGGTGAGGAAGGGGAAACGCCAACATGATTACCTCCATGTACAGATGGTTGTGGTCCCCCTGGTACTCTTTTCTCTCTCTCACTTGCCCCCATCTGTGGAAGGCACTAACAGGTCACACACACAGTAAGCAAAATACACAATGCCAGGTTCCCTTCCCAAATCCATCGGCCAGAGATTCAGATTTTCTTTTCCTTTGGGGAGGGCATGGAGAGGTGAGAAACAATGTCTTGCTCACACTGGGCTTATCTCAGAATGTTCTTTTAATGGCTTGTTTGGTTCTTATTGCTCAACTGGTCTGTCCCACTGCACAGTAAATCAAACACCAAGGGGTTTGGGTGAGGGCTGTGGTAAGGTGGAGGGAGGTGAGGTGAGCTCTTGCAGGAAGCTATTCTTTGTTCACATCGCTGGAGAAGGCTACGCCAGAGAGTGTGAGGGACCCTGAAGCCCTGGAAGGGCTGGCCCCTGAAGTCCTGGGTAGCCAGGAGCCCTGGCTAGGGCTTCTCTGCCTGAAGGGCTTCCCTCTCAGGGCCAGAGGACTGTGGGAGCCCATATTCCACCGGTGGGACAGGGGAGGGGTCAGTGCTCAGCTACCTGCCAAGGCCCAAGAGGCCCCTGTTACCTGATGAGTTCTATGAACCTCTCCCTGGGGGCTTCACTCACGTCCTCCTCATTAATAGCCACAATCTGGTCACCAGCCAGGAGCTTGTCCTCAGAGGGGCCTCCTGCAGAGGAGAGGAGAGAGGCATGAGGGCTTGGAGCCACTGCTGGGAAAGCGCAGGTCTGGGTGGGAGTCGCCAGTGCCTGAGGGAGCTGAAGCGGGTCCTGAAGTATGTAGGAAACAGTGCGTGCTGCATGGGCTGGTGGTAGGGGTATTGTTCATGCCACTGCTGCCTGTGCCAGACACAGGGCAGAAGACTGAAGAACAAGTATAGCGTGGACCTCCTGTGGCTGGGAGTGGTGTGCTACCAGAAGGTCCCAAGCCCAGGCCTGGCCCTCAGACAAGGTTAATAAATGTGCTTTCTTGGCCTGGTTCTAAAGAGGCACACGGATTTCCCTTTCACCAGGAGGGATCAGCTGAGGCCTGAGGAATGACATCCAGGCTACCGACGCTGGTATAGATGAAGGGAGGTGTGAGAAGGAATCTTCTTACCTGAGCAACATTCATACTCACTGGTCTGGAATGATTTAGGCATTCACCTGCCTGAAGACAGGGGGATGGACTAAAAGACCCCCAAAGGGTTTATTTTCCTTCATCTCTGAGAGATGCTGCTCTTTAGTAAATAAGGGAACAAGCACAGACCCTAAATCACAGGTAGTCAGAAATTTGCTTTCTCTCCTTCCCATCTCTACTGCCGAGGTTAAGAAGGCAGACTTGTCTGAGGGCCCTACCTCCTTGGTTGGAGTAAAGGGTGGGGTAGAGAGGTGCCACAGGGTGCATTGCCTCTGGTGTTTAGCCAAGATCAAGGAGAAAAGCTTTTCAGAGATTCAGCTGGAATGAGAAGTCAGGCCCAGCCCCACTCAAACCCAAAAGAAATATTTACTGATGTGTCCCACTCTCAAACCAGCCTTGACTCTTGTTTGTGTCTGCTGCAAAGGGCAGGATCCCAACTGTTCCCTCTCTCTACAAAGAAGTGTGCTGTGCAAATTCCAGAAGCATGAACATACAAAACAACTCTGTCACTTGAGCATGGCCCAATGGCTCAGGAGCATGGGGCCTGTGTGCTGAGGGTGGCTATGTGGCTCGACGAGCAAACTCACCACTCCAGCTGCACTGGCCCTCAACCCACTAGGCCAAGTCTCCTGATGGCACAGTGGCTTCAAGAGCAGGGAACGGGGTGGTGCAGCCAGCCCAATCTGAACTCCAATTCCAAATCTGCAATTCACTGGCTGTGTGACCTTGCGCGAGACATTTAATCTCTGTGAGTCTCTCTTTCCTCATTTGTAAAATGGGAAAATAACAGTGACTACACATCACAAGAACAGTTGGGAGGATGAAGGAGATGATGAATGTACAGCGCTTAAAAAACAGTTGATCGATGTTGGTAAGAATTCGATAAATGGGAGTTATTATCCTCCAAAGGGGCGATCCCTTCAACTCATTTCATTCCTTCTACCTACTTCTGACAAAATGTCAGTCTTTTCGTAGAGGCCACTTATTCCTCCCTCCCTCCCTTCCTTCCTTTTAATGGAAGAGGTCCTCATGGAACTCATCTCTACTGCTCTTATGGATGGTTTGTTGGCTTGCTCAATAGTGATTGTTTCTCTATAGGATGCTCCTTGTCTTGTATCTTATCATCTCAAGTACAGAACCAAAAAGTCCTCTGTGTGTGAGAGCCACCGGAGCTAGAAACAGCTCTCTAAATCAGCCCACATCTTTAGAGAACTGTGCCTGCCAACCCCATGACTTTCTGTGGCTCCTGCCTGTGGCTTTCCTTCTCTCCACTCCTCCAACTCTGCCTCTTCATTTTCATACGGCTTGAAGCCGACTGCCTTTTCTAGGCTTAGGGGCTTCCTTCGGCCCTGTAAATCCCGTCTCCTTTGAAGTTAAAAGCAGGGGCTCCTGGTGGTCTGTTACTCAGTTTTTTTTTTTTTTT